TGAATATTTATTCTTATTTCTTCTCATTTTTTCTCACTCCCTTTTCTCCTTTCTTGCTTCTGACCTGGTATATCTGTAATTACAATATTTCACTTGCTGCAATGAGCACACTTACTCCTCCTTAAATATTTGCATTTCCTACTCCCGCTCCATGTACCTTCTCTTTTCCTTCTAAATCTTACCCTTTCTTTTCTCTCCATAAATACTGTTGGTGGTATATGCATCCTTAATTTTCTTGTGATGTTAAATATAAAGTCAATAATTACCAACTGTGAAGGTCTCATGTCTGTGGTATCTTCTACCTTGGTTAATTTTCTCCTTATATCTAAGTGCTTTGCCCAATTAATATTATGTTAATTGTTCAAGCACTCTGGAATGTCTGGATTCATGTCTGTGTAAATTATGATAAGTTTGAATAAGCCTTTCAAGACTCAGACAGATCATCATAGTCTTTTGTTGAAACTCTAGCATCTTACCAGAACTATTTCGCTTAAGCGTTCCCTTTCTTAGTCCTGTTAAAAGTCCTTGTTTTACTGTTCTAGTCTTTTTGTCCCAACAGAGTTGGGGTGTCAATTTGGATCTACCATTGGGACAGCCCCTTCCAGTTCTGGGTTTCTGGATCCTCCTGGTAGATATGATAAGCCTCCACATTAATTTTTCCTAAAACATACTCTGCCTATCCAATATTAACATTGTATATACTATAGTATATAAATCCGCATATAGGTTGAAGGGAGGCAAAATTAGAAGTAATGAAATCATCTATCTTTTGAGAATATGCCATTATGGAGGGATTAAATTTTTCTATTTCCGAAAGTGAGCTGTGGATTATTGGGTATATGCCCATGAATGTTTTCCCTGTTCTTTCAATCAAATCTTTGGGGATTGACAGAGGGATATATCTTTTCCCTATCTTTCATATCTCCTTTCGCCAATTTGGGTGTCTTGTGTATTATTAGAAGGGGAAGTTATTCATTCCGATCCTGCAGTGAGAAATGTGTAGCATCTACAGACTCCCCAGCAGGGTCAGTGCACATTTGAATGATGTTACACACTGTGGTCATAAGTGTAAGGGAAGGTTGTTGCCCAATTTTTGCCATCAAATGGGAATCTGACTCTTCCAAATCTAATTTTTTGAGGACCTACCTGATCTTAAAAGGAAAAAAAAAAAGCTCCTATTGCACAATTTCATGGTAGTTCAATGATACATCAACAGATCATTTTCCATCTGACTCGTTTTGCAATCCTCATGAAGACCAAAAAAAAAAAAAAAAAAAAAAAAAAGACACAATAGTGGCAACAGCAATAAAAACAAGAAAGGTTGATAATAAAAAGGACAAAAAAAATGACTAAATCAAAGTTTGAACTGAGCTGATTAAAATGCACATTAAGAAAAATCTCATTGCAATTCACGTATGAGCATGTAGATATAAATAGCTATTGCATATTTCAAAGAACAATTTCCTAATGTTTGATGAGGGTCACTGCAGAGATACATGACCTGGTGATATGAATGCAGGATATGGCTACAGATATTATCATTAAATAATGTAACCCTCATAGAGTGTTGGTGGGATGTAGAAGGGTTCAATCCTTATGGCAGTATGGTCGTTTTACAAAATATTAACTATTCAATGCTTTATATATGTAATTTTCTATTTTGATTCTTTATGGTCAGAAAATTTAGTTTATATGACTTTGATCTTCATTAATTTATTGATATATGTGTCATGAAACAATATGTAGTCAATTCTGGAGTATGTCTCATATGACTTGAGAAAACATTCTCATTTTAGGGGGTTCAAGCCTTTTCTAGGTTTAGTAAAATGTCCTCTATTATTTCTCTAAATATGTTTTATGTTCATTTCTCTCCCTTCTCCCTCTGGTATTTTTTTTAAATTAAGTCAATGCATTTATTTTCCTATATCATTGTTTATTTTTGTACAGTATTTGATTTCTCCTCTCAGTTGTAGTCCCCATAGTTTTCCCAACACATCACACATGATCCATCATCATAGTCCCTTGTGCTCTTCCCTACCCCATTTTGCCCCATTTCCTTCCCTCTCTCCTGCTGTGTGACTCACATCTATGGTCAGCTTGCAAGTTTTGTCTTTTACTTGACCTTTTTGTTCAATTTCTCTATATTACACATGTAAGTGAAACCATCTGATATTTATCTTTTTCCTTCTGAATTATTTCACTTAGCATGATACCTTCCAGCTGCATCCATGCACACACCACAACTTTTTGATCCATTTGCCTGTTTGGGGCATTTGGATTGTTTCCATATCTTGGTTTCTGCAAATAGAGATGTGATAAACACAAGAGTGCAATTTTCCTTTCAAATTAGTGTTTTTGTGTTCTTTGGGTAGATTACTAGGAGTAGAACCATTTAGTCATATGATAGATCCAATTTCACTATTCTGAGGAAACTCCCTACAACTTACCATAGTTTTACATTTACAGTTTACATTTCCATCAGCAGTGTGAGCTCATTTTTGTACACATCCTCTCCAGCATTTATTTCCTATTATTATTATTATTATTATTATATTATTATTATTTTAATGTGGCCCATCTTACTGGTGTCAGATGGTATCTCATTGTGGTTTTGATTTGCATTTCCCTGATAACTACTGATATTGAAGATTTTTTCATATGCTTATTGGCCATTGGAGAAGTTTGCATTTCTTCTTTTTACCTCTTCTGTTCATATTTTGACTGGGTTGTTTGTTTTTTTTTTTCAGTTGTGTAAGTCTTCATAGGTCTTTGAAATCTGTCCTTAATTAGTTGTACAGTATGCAAATATTTTCTCCCATTCAGTAGGATGTCTCTCCATTTTGGTTATTGTCACTTTTTTTGTATAGATGTTTTTTATTTTGATGTGTTCCAGCTACCTGTCATCTATTCTGTTTTCTTTACTTTTTGAGCTGATTCCTCAAAGTTGTTTCTAAGATTTATGTCATGGAGTGTTTTGATTATGTTCTGTTTTATATGTTTTCTGGTGTCAGGTCTTACATTCAAGTTTTTTATCCATTTTGAGTTGATTTTTGTGTACAGTGTGAGGCAGTAATCTAGTTTCCCATTATTCTTTTTAATATTTTTTATGATTTATTTTTGCATGTAAGAACTGGGGTGTAGGCCGGAGGTGTGGGGAGTGAGTGGATTCAGCAGAGACAATGTGGGGAGCAGGACAGATGAATCTACTGAAATCCACTTAAAGGGAACAGTCAGTGAGACATTTATGTGGGTCAGCTCCTTGGCCAGGAGTCGATCTTAGTTTGCAGCAGTGATAGCACTGAGACTTGACCCCTTTGCCACCAGGGAGTCCCCTAGTGTCCCATTACTCTTATGTTTCCTTTCTGGAGTCATATAATTCTTAGTGTTTCTTGATTTTTTTCCCCTCCATCTCTCTCTTTCCTGTTCTATCCAGCCCTTGTTTATTCACTCATTCAAATTCAATTATCTGTTCTTTTTTTGGTTTATGTTATTTCCATAATTTTCATCTGAATTTTGCATGTCTCTCTTTCCCTTTGAATATCCCAAATTTCCATTGTTTTATGTTGAGCATCAATTTCATTGTTCTGTTTTTTAAATTTTATTTCTAAGAACATTCACTCATTTTTATAAGTTTTCTCAGTGTTCTTCAATTTCTTTGAATTTATTTATTATGACAATATTAATCTCTGCATTTGATGGGAAAAACAGATCTTCCATGGTTTTGTAGTGGAGTTTTAGAAAACTGTTCTCTCTGTGTGTTGTATGATTCTCCTGAGGGCTCATGTATCCAATGTCTAAGGGTTTTCTTTCTCCTCATCATTTTCTTTAGGACCCTCTTGCTGTAGATGGGGCTTTGTAGAGTGTGGCTCCTCTCCCCTAATACAAGAGAGCTTACCTATTGGGGAAGTGGCCTTGGGTAGTTACATGGCCTACAGTGTCTATTCCTCCTCCCTCAGTGATGATCACGGTCTCTCTAGTCCTGCTGGGTTGCTGATGGGGTCTTACTGGAGGTAGCAAAGCTTTGGTAAGCTCTGAAGTCACATTTTATATCTCTACATCATATGCAAAAGTATAAATCAAGGTTGCCCTGATTTAATAAAACCAGAGATCGATTATGTTCCTTAATTACATTAGTTCCTTCATTTAACAATTTATTTATTTATTTATTTATTTATACAAGCACAGAGTACAGTCAGAAGCGCGGGAGGGTGAAAGAATTCACCAGAGGCAGAGCGGAGAGTAGAACAGGCAGACTGACGAAGTACAGTGCTGAGGGGAGCAGGAGAGGTCTGCGCGCCATGTGGGACCCTCACCCAGTGGCCGGAGATCGAACCGGTGTTGAAGAATCTGCGGGCAGCTTCGCAACCCAGCGCTCAACCGTTGTGCCACCAGGGAGGCCCTAACAATATATTTTTTAAATATTTATTTATTTATTTATACAAGCACTGGGTACAGTCAGAAGCGTGGGAGGGTGAGAGAATAAACCAGAGCCAGAGCCAGGAACAGAACAGGCAGAGTGACAAAATACACTGCTGAGGGGAGCAGCAGGCGCGGCAGGAGAGGTCTGTGTGCCATGCAGGACCCTTGCTGGAGGCCGGGAATCAAACCAGCTCTGCAGAGGGTGCTGAAGGCAGCTTCACAGCCCAGCGCTCAGCTGTTGCACCACCAGGGGAGGCCCCATTTAACAATAATTTACAAACATGTGCAGGTAAAAATATTTCCATCTGTCAAACTTTTGTCAACACTTTTTTTTTTTTTTAAATAGGGCCCTATTCACTTATGGTCTGAAATTCATTAATTTCATGAAATTAACCTTAGAGAAGCAGCTCTCACTGGATAGTGAGGACTGAGTTCCCAGGGGCTTTGTGGTGATATCATGGGTGCTCATATTTTTAGATAAAATAGAACATGATTGACTTGTTTATATAATATAAAAATGATTCCTTGTTCTTCTGAAGATATTCTCAAAAACTTGTCTGAAGAGAAATTCTGTTCAAACCATTTTCAAAATTTGCTGTGCAGATACTAAAAAGAGAATCGTCATTCTGTCCAAGGTAAGAACATATTATACACTATGTGTACTTTGTGGTTAGAACATAACTGCAATGACCTGACATCTTTTTTCTGTGGGACAATTAATCATTTCATTAAAAGAAATATTCAGCCAGCAAAGGAGTATTGGAAGAAAATAGTGAGCACAAAGAAACTTATCAAGTATTTTATAATTATAATTGCAAATGACACAGCAATCATATAATTGAGGATTGTATAGTCCTATCATTATAAAAAATTAAAAATGGTTGTTAATTGTTTCTATATTCTGTAACAAATTTTTCGATTTTTTTTCCTACTCAAATGACTTTTATACTTACCTAAACTTGGAAAATGCATGCAATTGTATACAGAATAGCCAGATGACAAATGATATTAATAGTGGGCTATAAAATATAATATTAAAAATGAAATTAGATACATGCATATATACACACATATCTATTTAATACAGATGCATGTTAAATAAAATAATTTATATATTTTATGTATTCATTGAGCTGTAATGAATTATCCAATATCAGCTAGTTGTCCTAATCATTAGTCTTTTGTCTTTTTCAATCATTTCTATATTTTTATGCTGATGATGAATATGTGTGTGTACACTTGGTTCATGTATGTGAATATACACAAAATAGTTGGAACTATTTTTAATAACATTTTGAATTATAGGAAGTAATAAAATTTATTTCTCAAAATTCATTTCTCAAAAACCTATAAATAACTCTTTAAAAAAAAAAAGATCAGGTGTAAGTTAGACTGTACTTATTTGTAATATATAAATAAAGGTGCTCTTTTACAAATTTACTATAAACCACTATTGCACGTTTTCTTATTTAAAAAATTTCAAAAGCGCATTAAAAGTGTTACCATGCTACATTAACTAATTTTATTGTAGTTCACTAGCAGTCATTTTTCATATTTCTGACAGGAGAAATATACTAATTTCTTCTTATAAGTATCACTTTTAGCTTTCATGTATACTTAATCTTTGTTTTGTTTTCATGTCCTTCATATTGTCTTGAATAGAAGCATTTCAATAAGCATGTACTATAAATTACAACAAAGTTGGTTTTGGATATGAGCCACAATAAAATATTAATATCAAAATCTCCAAAATATGTAAATAATGTTTTTTTATTTTAATACTTTTATGCACTAAAACAATTTTTTTTTATTTTTTTATTGATGGTCATGTCTGGGGTTCTAACTTTGAATTATATTGTCTACAGTATTTTTCATTATGTTTTACATTTGACTTTGACTTGAAACTCCATAATCCAAAATTTCCCTTTAAGACTACTAACTGAAATGAAAAAAAAAAACAAAAAACCTAAATATAATTTTGTTAGAAACATAAAGAGAAAAGCAAATAGTCATTAAATGTAATAATACAATTACGACATTAATTAATTCAAACTAATTAGAGGATAATGTACTTAATTATGTTGGAGAGAAATTTATAGATGACTTAGTGTAAAGTGCAATTGCCTGCATTGGTACTATGTTAGTTTCAAAGTTTTAAACACATGTCATATATTGCATTTAAGATTTTGGGGAAGGTTTAAAGTGTTGCAGATATTCCAACAGGGATTTTTTTGTATGATCTATTTCTCCCTTAATTTATCATATTTAGTTGTTCTTATTTTTATGTTTTCTCTTCATTGGAATTAAGCCCCTAAAATAACCATAACATGATTTCCTACTTCCACAAATATCTCAATTTAATTTTGACTGGTTGTGAGTAATCAATATATTTTTGAAAGATTAAGATGTTACCCTATCATGGGGTTAGCATGAGGTTATTTTTTTTTATTTCAGACATACATATGACTATATACATATTTATGATTATATGTGTGATTCTATAATACATATGATTATATAATGTATATAATGTAATGATGGTGTCATGTATGATACAATTATTTCTATGTAAGAGAATAAAGAATATGAATTGTGAATCTCTCTGGTAGCCTAGAGGTTAAGTCTCAGGTCTACCATAGGAATGGCCCACCATGATAGCCTGAGTTCTATCCCAAGAGAGAGCTAATACACATGGCACAGCAGACCTCTCCTGTGTTGTTTTCTGCTCCTCTTAGCAGTGTATTTCAGTAGATATGCCTACTCTGCTCCACCTGTGTCTCTGGTAAATCCTTTCACACTCCCACATCTCTGGCTTATACCCCAGTTTTTCTATGCAAAAACAGATAAATAAAATCTTTAAAAAATAGAATATGCGTTGTGAACCAGCTTTATTAGCAGATGTTTTATTAACTAACATGCACATAGTAATTTAACTGTAGGTAAAAGAAAAATAAATTATATGTGGTCTAAAATTAAATCCAAGGAGTTTACACTTATATGAGGGCAATAAACGCACAATTTATTTTAATGAAATGCAATATTTTGTATTTTATTTATTTTTTTAAAGATTTATTTGTTTGTTTGTTTGTTTGTTTGTTTATTTATTTATTTATACAAGCATTGGGTACAGTCAGAAGCACGGGAAGGTAAGAGAATTTACCAGAGCTAGAGCGGGGAGCAGAACAGGCAGACTGCTGAAGGGAGCAGCAGGCGGCAGGAGAGGTCTGCGCACCATGTGGGGCCCTCGCCCGAAGCCCGGGGATCGAACCGGCGCTGCAGAGGCTGTGGGCAGCTTCTCAGCCCAGCCTCCGGGGAGGCGCAATATTTTGTATTTTAAACAAAAATACAATCAGAATGATATATTTGAAATTATCAAGAAGATTTCATAGCAAAACGTTTATAGTAACTGGTAAATCATAATGGAAGATGATATTATGCATAAAGATGAAAAAGGAAGCCCATTATCAAAAAAATACAATTTTTAGATTCATTCTGAGAATGAGGAGTTGACTCAGTAAGAACCTCTAATTTGTATAGGGAAAGGGTGCAGAAAAAATAACACAGACTTTTCAAAAATCAATTGAATTTTGTATATTCATTGTGAAAAGTAAGGTACAAAAATTCCATTAATAGGTTGGGCTACTCACTAATGAAAAATTTGAAAAAACGTGAAATTCCAGGGCCTCCCCTGGTGGCACAGCGGTTGAGCGCTGGGCTGTGAAGTTGCCCACCGCAGCCTCTGCAGTGCCGGTTCCATCCCCAGCCACCAGCTAGGGTCCCACATGGTGCGCAGACCTTTCCTGCCACGCCTGTTGCTCCCCTCAGCAGTGTACTTCGGTCCTTCTGCCTGTTCTGCTCCCCGCTCTGGCTCTGGTGAATTCTCTTACCCTCCTGTGCTTCTGACTGTACCCAGTGCTTGTATAAATAAATAAATAAATCTTTAAAAAAAAATGAAATTCCATAAACATTCTAAAAAATATGATTGGAAAGTAGCATTCTTGCAGAGATTTTGATAAAGGTGAGATGTAGAAGGCAAAAATGTTGGCAAGGAAATTATGTTGAAGAGGAAATATTTCAGACTTTTAAGTATTTAATTGACAAAATCTTTTTCAGATGTGTTACAATCAATAAGACCAAAATTTGTTATTAGGATTTACAGATAATACTTTTTAAATGAACGGGAATGAACATAGGGAAGTAGTAAATAAGGAGAGATGTCAAAGGAATAAGAACATTTTAAAGACAGATGAATATTGAACATTATGCAAATAAAATCAATGAGTAAAAAACTATGGAAAAGTAGAAGATTAGAGAAAAATAAACAGTCTCATTAAAAAACAGGAAGAGGCCTAGCTGGCTCCACAGACAGGACATCCCTGCCACTCACTGAAGACCCATCCATATTAGTCTTCCTGATAAAAGCACCATCTATTTGAAAAATAGAAGTGCTTCACTCTTAGTTTTAGAAAGCAAATAATAATGAGATGGAAAAAAAAAAAAAGAAAACACAACAAAACAACACAACAAATGGCAACCTGAGTTTTCGGGGGGATAATACACCACAGTGAGAAAACAGATCTCCAGGACCAAATCACAACGACATAGAAGATCTGTTCTTCATATCAAATACAGAGTAAAAATTTCCATCATAAGGACATTCAAAGAAATTGGAGAAAATACAAAAAGCTAATCAAAGATATGTAAGAAATCTCAGAAAAACATTTAGGAAGATTCTTTTCCCTCCAAATTTATTGATATCTATAAAACAAACATGTATATATCTAAGTACACATATGACACTTTGATGTTTAAAAACATTGTAAGGGCCTCCCCTGTGGCGTAGTTGGTTGAGCATAGCACTGTGAATCTGTCTGCAGCCTCTGAAGCACTGGTTGGATTCCCAGCTGGCCAATAAGAAACCCACATGGTGTGGCAACCTCTTCTGTCTCACACACTGCTTACCTCAGCAGTATCTTCAGTCTGTCTGCCTGTTCTGTTCCCCACTCTGTCTCTGGTGAATTCTCTCACTTTCCTGTGTCACTGACATGTACCCCAATTCTTGTATAAATAAACCTTTAAAAAATAAAAACAATGTCAAACCACACTACGATCAGTTTAATTAGTAGAAACATTGGCATGGAGGGAATTTTTGCAAAAATTGTAATAAATTGCTGGAAAATATAGCGGAAAAATTAAATAGAGCTGCCCCAGGGTCAGTGATTTCACACATAAGAATCATTAAATATGAGATTTGAGAAGATATTAGTCTTAGGTTGCCAAAAGCTTTTAATAAACATGTTTGAAATATGTTTAATTAATTTTGATATATTTTTTCAGTAAACTGTTCATGGAAATAGTGGCTGAATATTATTATGGTATGGGTGTTTCTATACATTAAAACATATCAAATACATTAGAATTTGCATTGCTATCATTAGATAGGGTGATGTAATAAATGTGGCAACCATAATAGTCAACTACAGTGAATTTAAAAAACAGTTCCTGAGAAAGTAATTTGTTAGGAGGAAGAGGAGGGGGATTAACAAGTGGGTTATACATTTTATAGAAAACATGCTTGTTGTTATTACTGGTGGCAAATTATGAGATATTGTAAAAATTAAACTGAGTTTAGGTAGTAAGATAATTATTAAGAAAATGAATGCAAGCATAGAAACCAATACTTAAAGATAAAAATTAGAAAATCATCCCCAGTCATTTTAGTACAATGATATAAGTATAACTCTATCACTCTAGGTTTTTCAGGAGTGTATGGAAAATATGTATAAAATTTATCATAATGAAAATTAATTAAATTTCCTCATAAAATAACAAAAACATCTTCTCCATTAAACATTAAATCATCAGCACATTCACTTTTCAACTAACTGTAGGGAAAGTCAATTTTATTTCCCGAAATTATTGTTATAATTATTATCTTAAAGCAAAATAAATAGCTTTGTATAAAAATATTATTTTAAGTAAGTATACACAATATATATCTACTGATACTACGCTTGGAGTGTATGGCAATGTTGTATGTTACAAATGTGTGAGAGATCTTAATCACAGTTTCTTATATTCAAAAAAGTATAACTAAGCAAGGTATAACCATTTATATTACCCACCATATTTTGAAGATCACTGAGTTACACCTCTGTTGTATATCACATTTAGAACCAATAAGTTGTTCAATGCCTTTAAAAATTGAATTATATTTGAAATTTTATTTTATTGCAGAATTTTTTATTTTATTAACTAATTCAAAACAGTGCTTATGAAACTTTAATTTTCTTAGGTTGGATATTTTGAAATTCAGTAACATTTCTACTCATATGCATTAAAAATGGTTTGAAGAACCTGTACTTTAGCACTGTTCCATATTATCAGGAGTAGTCAAGTAAGTCAAAAGACTAGTGAAAGTTTTGTAATCATAAAAAACAATCCAGTCAAGTTGAAATGTGTAATTGAGTAATCATTTTCATGTTTTCTTTTTTATCCCCTTTGCTTTAACAGCCAAGCAGTATTTTAAGAAAATGACCAATTACACCATGGTGACTGAATTTCTCCTGGAAACCTTTGGTAATGAATGGGAGCTAAGGTTGCTGAACTCTGTGCTATTTCTACTGATGTACTTAATCACACTTTTAGGGAATATTCTCATCATTGCTGCCACCACACTGGACAAGAAACTTCACACACCCATGTACTTCTTCCTTAGAAATTTGTCCATGTTAGACATTTGCTATATATCTGTCACTGTCCCCAATGCCTGTGTCACCTCTCTCACTAACAACAGGGCCATTTCTGTGGCTGGGTGTGCAACTCAAATATTCTTGGTCATTTACTTTGCGATTATAGAAATTATGTTTCTCACCATCATGGCCCATGACCGCTATGTGGCCATCTGCCAGCCCCTTCACTATCCAGTTATCATGAACCACCAATTCTGTGTCCGGATGACACTTCTCTCCCTCTTCAGTGGGCTGGTGTATTCAGGTGTGCACACTGGCAACACGTTCCGACTCAACTTCTGCCAGTCCAATGTGGTCCATCAGTTCTTCTGTGATGTTCCCTCTCTACTACTGCTGTCATGCTCTGACACCTTCAGCAATGAGATTTTGATTCTTGTCTCTGCAATTGTGGTTTGTGGGGGCTGTTTTATCTTCATTGCTATATCATATAGTCACATATTTTCTACTGTGCTCAAGTTTTCAAGCAAAGAGAGAGGAAAGGCCTTTTCTACCTGTATTCCTCACATCCTTGTGGTTTCTGTTTTCCTCAGTTCAATATCTTATGTATACTTAAAGCCTTCTGTAACCTCTGAAGCAATTCAGGACATTATTCCTTCTGTACTTTATACCATAGTTCCTCCACTCTTGAATCCTATCATCTACAGTCTTAGAAACAAACAAGTAAAGGATGCTGTAAAGAAAGTGTTATTAAGAAAGATTTATTCAGGGAAATGGTAAAGATCCATTTCAGGTTTATGCCAATTTCACTAAATGAAATTTAATTATATATATTAAACTCTGAATTTTGAATGTTAGCATACCTACGCTATTGTCACTTTATTAAGACCTGGGCAATGAATGTTGTAAAATAATTATTTTGTGTCTTATAGATTAGCTTTCAACTTATCCTCTATAAAGTGTTCATAGGAATAATTGTAACAGGTAACAATTGCATATTTTAATGAATATATATTTAGTCTTCACTTAACATTTTTGATAAGTTCCTGGAAGCTGTGACTTTAAGGAAAAGATAGTAATGAACCAATTTTAATATGCATGTATATTTATTTAAACTGAAGTTAAGTTTTTATGCCATATTTGTGGTCACAAAACCATCATCAAACTTGAAAATAAAGATACAAAATGTTTCTAATATCAAAAAACAGTTTGCATTCGTTCATTTATTCATTCATTTATGTTTTCATACATTTATTTTCCAGCCCACATAGAGCAGATGAAGGTCAGGCATTTCCAGAATCTCTCCAGACAGTTCAATGTATGGGGTGAGTGTATCTTGTTCAGAATCCCCTTCCATCACAGGGCTCAATCTTGCATGTGCACTCACCAGACTGGACCAACTTAGAAATGATAATTAACATGCACATCTTTGGTTTGGGAAGGAAACCAGGAGTACATAGAAAACCACACACAAACCTGGGGGCATTGTATAAACTCCACACAATGACCCGATGAGAAATGGGTTTTTTGCGTCACTAGCATTTCACAAAATTACATTCAATAGAGGAACATTATTTGAAAATTGGCTATATATATGATTTAACATATTTTTGCTAATTTTTCATTAGATAGGTTTATAATTCGTGAAATATTTAGGATTACCAATATGAATACCTCATTTATCAAATCAGATATAAAGATAGTTTATAGGCTTTATTATCTGATCTTTGCTTATGAAATGTGAGTAAATATGTTAATAATATGGCACCTAAATGAAATACATTATATTGAAATTAATTAAAATTATATTTATAAAAAATGTATAAAATAAGATATATACAAAATGAAATTAATTGTGTAATACATCTATACAGTTAAAATTTGTACATAAAATGATAAGTGAGCAAGTAGGGCTTATAGTCAACTTTTCCATAATAGAGCAATTTCCTCCTCTAAATTTTTTGGTATCCATACTATCATATATTTCTCTAATTTTTCATATGAATTTTGAAATATGCTCAATATCAAATTATTGTAGTAGAATTTGTATACAATAAAGTATACCAAAAAAAGTCATATTTCAGGAAACATTTTTTTTAAGTGCATCGTTAATAAAAATGTGGAGATGGCCTCCCCAGTGTCGCAGCCATTGAGCGCTGGGTTGCGAAGCTGCCCCCGGCCTCTGCAGGGCCGGTTCAATCCCCGGCTGCTCCCCGGCCACCAGAGGAGGGTCCCACATGGCGCGCAGACCCCTCCTGCCGCCCGCTGCTCCCCTCAGCAGTGTACTTTGGTCCTTCTGCCTGCTCTGCTCCCCACTCTGGCTCTGGTGAATTCTCTCACCCTCCTGTGCTTCTGACTGTACCCAGTGCTTGTAAAAATAAATAAATAAATAAATCTTAAAAAAAATAATGTGGAGAAAGGTAAGCCTCACTATTTAGGAAAATGTAAAATGTTTATATTTGTGGCATCAATTAATTTATTTTCAAAATCTGCCAAAAAAGAAACAATTGTAAATAAATAAATAAGCAAATAAATAGGTAGAAAAAGAAAGAAAGAGAAGGAAGGAAAGAAGGAAGGAAGGAAGGAAGGAAGGAAGGAAGGAAGGAAGGAAGGAAGGAAGGAAGGAAGGAAGGAAGGAAGGAAGGAAGGAAGGAAGGAGGAAAGAAGGAAGGAAGGAAGAAGGAAAGAAGGAAAGAAAGAAAGAAAAAATCTAGCTGATAGGGGAAATTCAGGGATGTTTGAATATTAAAATAGAGTTTTTATTGTTGTTTAGTTAATTTACCATCAGTTTGGATGGAATGAGTCCAGAAGTTCAGTCAATGTATTTAAAACAATCCTCATTAGTTTATAGTCTTAGAACTTGCAAGACTTTTGTCCTGAAGTCATGGAAAATCCTTTGTTCTTTCTTTCAATTGTTAGAATATGTTGAAATGAGATATAATTTTCAGACTTAATGTTATTGAGGAAAGTGCTATATTATGCAGTATTTTCCTTTGTAACTATTTCTTAAATTTCACTTTTCTGTAATCGATGCAGTGGGAATCAGGTTTCCATGTATATACCTTCACCTTAGTTTCTAGTAACACTCTCATGGAATTCAACTGTTTTGTTTTAAATTGTTCAATCATTTAAAAAATAAAGTTGGGCCTCCTCTGGTGACACAGGCGGTTGAGCACAGCGCTGTGAAGCTGTCCGCAGCTTCTGCAGCACAGGTTCAATCCCAGCCGGCCAGGCAAGAATCCCACATGGAGCAGCAGAGCTCTCCTGTCTCGCCCACTGCTCCCCTCAGCAGTGTATTTCAGTCAGTCTAACTGTTCTGTTCCCCACTCTGTCTATGGTGAATCCTCTCACTCTCCCATGCTTCTGACCTGTATCCCAATTCTTATATGTATGAATAAATAAATCTTTAAAAAAATAAATAAAAATAAAGTTCTCTGTATTTTTTTTTTTTAATTTTCAGTCCTTTACATAGCTGCGTAATGTTGGGGTTACATTTTTACTCCTCCATATGTGCAGATGTTTCACTCACCTTTCACCAAATTTCTCAGGTCAATTTCCCCAATCATTACAATGCCTTCTCCCCTTTCTTCCCCAATCCTCTTTTATTTCTCCCATTTCCTCTGGTACCCTATTTGTTTTTCACAAGTATTTTTATTGTGTTTTGCCAGTTTTGTTTTGTTTTGTTTGTTTGCTATAGATATTCCACAGAAAAGTGAAAACATCCAATATCTATCTTTCAGTTTCTGACTTATTTCAGTTAGCATAAACACCTAAGGTCCATTTATTTTGACACAAATGGCACTACTTCATCTTTTAAAAGAACTGAGTAGTATTCCATTGAAGATATATTCCACTTTTTTTTTTTTTTTTGTCCAGTTGTCTGTCATGGAGCATATAAATTGGTTCCATGACTTGGAATTTTTGGAAATGTTGCAATGAACATAGAAACACATCAAATTTGTGCATAATTGTTCTCATATTCCTTATACAAATCCCTAGCAGAGATATCTCTGAATAAAATGGGATTTCCATTTTAATTATTTTAAAAGCCTTTTCATACTGTTTTCCCTTGAGACTACTTCAGATTGTTTTATCACCAACAGTGGATGCCTGTCCTTTTTTACCCCACACTCTTGCCAATGTTTGATGTGAACATTCTTTTTGATATGGAATATCCTCAAGAGGGAGAAGTGATATTTCATTGTGATTTTGATTTGCATGTTCCTTATAATGAGAGATGTTGACAATTACTCATGCACCTGCATAACATTTTTATGTCTTCCTTGTAGAAGAGTCTGTTCAGAACTTTTGCCTGCTGCAGTGTGGACAGCCAATGACATTCTTTACCATTAATGAAGACTCATAGTCTAAATGCATCTGTAGCAGGGGGAGGCTGGAGGGAGTGCCATGAGAGCAGGTCTTTCACTCTCCCAGCCCAAGCTTTTATTAAAGGTATGAACAAAGGAACAAGAAAATAGCACACAATTGTGTTTATGCTTATACAGATTAATAAGTTACGGCTGAAAACTAGTTTTTTCTGGCTAGTAGGGAGAATGTACACAAACCAGTAAGACCTCAGAAAACAGGAACAATTCTGGGAAGAAGTTATGTTTGCAGAACTTCTAATGGCTAGGATCTCCATATGCAGAGTAAACAGGTACTCTCAGAAAATTTCAGATCCCACCACTTCCCCATTTTTTACTGGATTATCTGCTTTTTGTGTAATGTATTTTGGAAATTAGTCTCTTGTTAGATGTGTGATACACAAATATATTTTCCCAATCTGTAAGTGGTGTTTCTATTTTTATGATGGTTGCTTTTGAGGAACAAATATCATTAGTTTTATGCAGTTCCACTTGTTAGTTTTTGCATTTGTTTATGTTTTCCTTGGAGTTGTGTCACCAGATACATTTTTGTAGCTGATTCAGTAGTGTATCCCCTATACATTCCTTTATTATGTTTCAAGTCTTGTATCCATGTTTTTAATGTATTTTGAATTAATTTCTGTATATGATGATATATAAACATCTAGTTTAATTTTTTGCTTCTACTTTTTGGCATTGACTCTCCATATCTCCAAACACTACTTATTAAAGAGGCAATCCTTTTGTCATTGCAAGGTCATGACTACTTTTGAAAAGTTAACTATTCATATGATTATTTTGAACATTCTATTCTATTCTATTCTATTGATTAGTATTTCTGTTTTTGTTCCAATATCATATTGTTTTGATTACTGTTTCTAAGTATAGTTTGAAGGAAGGGAGTCTGAAACTTTCATTTTAATTCATTCCTCTGAGGATTTCTATGGCTATTCAGGATTTTTTGAAATTCCATACAGATTTTATAATTGTTTGTTTTATTTCTTTTTCTTCACTTAAAGTTAGTTTATGTTGAAATGAAGTACCTTTTTTCTTATATCACTGTTAATTTTGGGACAATATATTACTTATTTCTTCAGATGTTAGCACTGCAGTTGCCCCACCACCACAGCACCCATATTTCCTTGAAAAAAGTTATTGAGATTTTGATAGCTACTTCACTGAATATGTACTTTGATTTAGGTAGCAGGACCATTTTAGTGATATATATGCTACCAGTCTATGAGCATGGGATATCTTGCCATTTATTTGTGCCTGCTGTTCCTTTTAACAGAATCTCATAGTTTTCGATAAATAGACCTTCTAATGTCATCATTAAGTTTATTCTCAGGCATCTCAGCCCTTTCAGTGTGATTGTAAATGAGATTTAAAAGACAAAGTCTTTCTAATTAATTGCTTGCATACAGAAATGGAACTGACTTCTCTTTATTGATTTTGTGCCTTTCAGTTTCTCTAACCTATTTACCAACTGACACAAAAAGAAATGTCCATTCTTTCTCAGGCACAGTAAGGGGATGTTTCTTAGGGAGTACAAAGGGCAGTCTGAATTCCACATTGGGATAGCCAGCACAAAGGGAGTTGTGTATAATTACATCTAGCGGGTTGTGCATTGAGGCCAGGCAGGCTGGGAGCAGAGTGTCAGTCTTTCATTACTGCCGCCTGGCATGTTTGGGCTGGGTGAAGTACCTGGAGACTTCTCTAGTATTGGTTCCTGACTATCTTACAGGTATAAAGAAGATCAACCCAACTGGCACTGTTACACCCTCACCTTCATCAACTGTGTTCTGACCCTGGGAGCTTGGGCACAACTAGATAAGAATGAGTTCATGGAAAGAGTTGTGGTCTTGAGGAGAAGGAAAGGATCCAAATACATCACTCTGTACCTAGTGATGGACGAGTGACGCTTTTATGTCATTCATGGTCCTGACACATTGGCATCCTTCCTTAGGGGAGCACTCTGAGCTGAGTGTGCTGGGAGAGTGTGACAGACCAAGGCTTGGGTGTCACACCCTTTCATCTGTGGAGGATTTTTACTATAGTTTTGCTACAAACTTATTTCAGCTTGCTACAGAATAAGGGTTTAAAAATTTAATGAAGGGGAAAAAAAAAAAAGTTAAAGATAGGGCCTCCCTGGCGGCACAGGCAGTTGAGCACAGTGCTGAGAATATGTCCGCAGCCTCTGTAGTGCCAGTTCAATCCCCGCTGGCCTCAGAGCAACCCACATGTTGAGGCATACCTCTCCTGTCTCACCCGCTGCTCCCCTCAGCAGTGTATTTCATCAGTCTGCCTGTTCTGTTCCCTGCTTTGTCTCTGGTGAATCCTCTCACCCTCCTGCACATCTGGCCTGTACCCCAGTTTTAAAAAAAAATAATAATAAATTAATAAATGATTAAGGAGTTAAGGAAGATCATAAAAAATGAGTTTGCTTACATTTAAAAATAGACTTCTTGGAGCCCAGGTGAGCACCCAATGATACAAAGCACTGATTAGCCTCAGTGGATCATATAAGAAGAGAATAAGGAGTGTCACCTACAGCAGCATTCTGACTAATCGTAACTTTAGGATTGTATCTAGAACTCTGGAAATATGTGCTCAGACAGGATTTCCTCCATTTACTAAAGCAAAAACCTTCAAACATTCCATTTTTTAACTCATTAATGTTCACTTGGTGGTTATTATAATTAACTAAATCAGCCTCAATCCTTTGCTCTCATTTTATTTTATTTTTTAAAGATTTATTTTATTTATCTATGTATACAAGAACTGAGATGTAGCCCAGAGGTGCCAGGAGGGGGAGGATTCACCGGAGATAGAGTGAAGAGCAGAACAGGTGGATCTAATGAAATACACTGCTGAGGGGAGCAGCAGATGAGACAGGAGGGGTTCGCTGCACCTTGTGAATTAGCTCCCTGGTGGGGGATTGAACTGTGGCTGCAGTGGCTGCAGATAGATTAGTAATGCTGAACCTCAATTCCTTGCACAACCAGGGAGGCCCTGTTCTCATCCCTGTCCTCATTTTAGTATAAATTATCAAGAAAGAAATGGTTATAAAAACACAGAAATAAAATGAGTACACATAATAAAACAAACTATGGCCTACAATAACTAACAAAAAAATTAAGAGAGCACCATAATTAAAAAATGCACATATACTTTATATCAGTAAAGATTTATTGGCTGTATTTACCTGGAAAAGTCAATTTGTGAAAAATTAAAACTTGTCTATGTTATGCATACACTAGATACCCCTGAGTCAAAATGATTCAGAAATTTATAAATAAATGATGGTGAAACAGCATTGATGGATCCACAATTATGTAGTCAGTGATATTTATCTGTATGTATCTGCATGCTTACATATCTGTCTTTCCATTTGCCTTTAAATCTATGTATGTAAGTATATATGCATGCATGTATGTATTATTTATCTATCTTTCAATTCATTTGTTAATGTTAAAATATACATATTGGTATGAGATGAAACGTGATGTTCTGGTGATTTCTATTGAAACCAACAGGGGCTTTACTTTATTAAGACCTGTCTGTTTATTTGTACCAATGGAATACAGAGCATATTGAATTATCTGTCACATGATTCTTTTTTATTTTTAAAGATTTATTTATTTATTTACACAAGCACTGGGTACAATCAGAAGCATGGGAGGGTGAGAGAATTCACCAGAGTGGGGAACAGAACAGGCAGACTGACGAAATACACTGCTGAGGGGAGCAGCGGGCATGGCAGGAGAGGTCTGCACGCCATGTGGGACCCTCGCCCAGCGGCTGGGGATCAAACCTGCGCTGCAGAGGCTGTGGGCAGCTTCACAACCCAGAGCTCAACTGCTGTACCACCGGGGAGGCCCTGTCACATGATTCTTATCAAATGGAATTATAGTGTCATAGTAGACAGCATGAAGCATGAGGATGGATAACATTTTAGGAAGTGCTCTTGAGTTTAGGTGTCCTAAGATCAAAGTTACTTTAGGTCTGATGTGAGGTGATGTGCTACCATAGAGAGAAATATTTCACCTCAGAACTTCAGAACATACAGTATAAAGAGGACATGCCAGTGCATACTCTGGATTATGAAGTTAAAATATTCACTGAACAACTAAGATTATCACAGTCACACCCCACCTTCACAAAAAACCCTGAGTTGTTGTGGGTTTTTTTGTTGCTGTTTTGTGTTGTTTGTTTTTAAAAACCAGAGGAGTGATGTGTTCGAGATATGGTTTCAATAATGCTAACTGGCTTTTAATATTGCCATAATCAAGTCTGCTGAGACATATGAGATATTGTCCCAGTTTCATATCTAGCAGTTTCAACTTTAATATATAGTTTTTATTATTCTAATATTCAGCAGAATATAATAATGTTGTTATTTTCCCCATAATCTATATACATATGAATTATGTAAAGGAAATGAGGAGCTTGCACGAAAAATCTAAAATTATCCATTATATATCTAAATGTTTGATCATATTTTGTGCAGATCATAAATATATTGTTACTTTCTCTCAGTACACAATTAAAATGTTTCACTTACAATCTTATGGTATAATCAATGTTAGTTATAAAGCTGCCTTTTTTAACTGGAGTCCTCCTTCTGCCCAGTTTGTTTACATGTCTATTACATTCACTAGTAGGAGTTCACCTCAATTATTGCTATGTTTTGAATGTCACATGATAAAATTAATGTTTTATCTGACACAATTGTGTGGACTGCATATACCAATTGAGTTTGTTTCTAATATAAAATCCATATCATGCTGATTACAGAGAAAAGTTATGCATCATTCAACTGAAAAGATGCACAATTTTATTTTTTGACATACTCTATGGAAAACATTACCAGAGTAGTGAGTATGATTTATAAGTTATTCTTGTCATCCAGACCAGCAATGTAATTACACTTCATGAGAAAGTAAGATTCCACGATGCAGGGTAGTATTAGCTTTGTATCATCAACTAGTAAAAACCTTCTAATTATAGACTCTCCATGCACACGTCATTTCCCCTGACACTATCTCCCCCTAGTCAAGATATCCTATTCACACTTTTGTGAACATTCCAGAAAAAAGACACTGTGCTTGTATTATCATACACTTTCTCATGAGATAAAGTTTATCCAAGCATCATGATTCTACCAAAAACACAAGAATCATAGAGTGTCTCAAACATTTTTTTTAGGAGATTCTTTTTTTTTAAAGATTTATTTATTTATATAAGAACCGGTGTACAGGCCAGATGCACGGGAGGGTGAGAGGATTCACCAGAGACAGATTGGGGAACAGAACAGGCAGACTGACAAAATACACTGCTGAGGGGAGCAGTGGGCGAGACAGGAGAGGTCTGCTTCACCATGTTGGATTCTGGCTAGCTGGCCGGGATTGAACTCACACTACAGAGGTTGCAGACAGCTTCACAGCACTGTGCTCAACTGCTGCGCCACCAGGAAGGCCCGTCTCATAAACATTTAAGAAAAAAATAACTGCAGACCAGACCTGGATCCAGATGCTGCCAGATGATGGATACCCCACCCATCACCTGTCCTTGAGTGTGATTCTGTGTGTCCACACCCTGCCCTGACTCTGCCCCCTGCCCAGTTCCTGACACCACCAAATGCCCAGATCTGGGCCTTGACCTGCCTCAGGGTGAATTCTCAGCACTAAACTAAACCTCATGATTCCCCAGCTGCTGTGCCCACCACTGGTGAAGACCCAGAATGTAGCAGAGAAGGACCCTTTCTCACATAACAAAACCCCAACTACAGGGGAACAATCAAAAGCAAACCATGGGGAGAAATAAAAGTACAAATGGCCAAGCAAGTCTCCAGGGGATTCATTACTACAAATATCCAGAAC